CTCCTGGACCTGGGGCATCCGTCCCGTCGACGGTCGATGTCGGCGTGAAGCTCCAGCGTTGTTGGACTGCGCGGCCATGGCAGGCAAAACCGGCGAGTCTCGGCGCCTTTTCCTGCCTTTGACGACGGTGAAGCTGTCGTCCACTTCAGGGTTTAAGTCCTCATCGCAATCCGCCCAGTTTCTTTGGGTTTGGTAGGCGCCATTGGAAGAAGAAAGAATAGCCGCCAAGTTGAACGGCGCGGCCGAATTTGCATTTCTTTCGCCGGTGGGCAAATTTTCATGCTCTTCAATTCTTACTTGATTGTTTAAAGTATTTCTCTGCGAATAGAAAATTGCAGATTTCTCTGCACAGGGCAGTGCTTGGTTGCTGTGCCTTCCAGGCATTTTATCAGCTTTTAATGGGCTTTCAGCCCGTACTAAACTCGGCGTATCGCCGGTAGCCATACACCCGCCAGGGTGGGAAAAAGGCGGAGCTCGACAAAAGCGTGCCGCTCAGTCGGCGTGTAGACATGTGGTGTACTTACAGTACAAGCTGTCACCACCCTCTACCCACCATGTTATCATGGCCTGGTACTACATGTGTCGACATGTGGTGTACTTACAGTACAAGCTGTCACCACCCTCTACCCACCATGTTATCATGGCCTGGTACTACATGTGTAGACATGTGGTGTACTTACAGTACAAGCTGTCACCACCCTCTACCCACCATGTTATCATGGCCTGGTACTACATGTGTAGACATGTGGTGTACTTACAGTACAAGCTGTCACCACCCTCTACCCACCATGTTATCATGGCCTGGTACTACATGTGTCGACATGTGGTGTACTTACAGTACAAGCTGTCACCACCCTCTACCCACCATGTTATCATGGCCTGGTACTACATGTGTAGACATGTGGTGTACTTACAGTACAAGTTGTCACAACCCACCATGGCCTGGTACTACATGTGTCGACATGTGGTGTACTTACAGTACAAGCTGTCACAACCATCTACCTACCAGGATTTTCATGGCCTGGTGCTACATATGTAGACATGTGGTGTACACACTTACAGCAGAAGGAATCCCCAAAATCCCAAGTATTACAGTTTCAACTGGCTGTAAGACGTTGCTCTCCCGTTTTTTCCCAGTTGGTCCACACATAAAGAGTATGTCCTCTTGATGGAGAGTCTTCAATGCTTCCAACAATCAGACCTTTGAGCAAAAATTTGAGTCTTATCACGTAGCCCAATTCTCAATAAATCATATTTATTTTAGTATTTTTTATGAGGCATTTTATCAGTGCTAACACCGCGTCAACAACAACGTTTCTGATATTTAGTGTACAATCTTAAAACAACTGTACTGTCCCCCCCCCCCCCCCCCCCCGGACATTATAAATCATTCTATTTGCTGAAATCAGTCAAATACAACAGGGACAGCAAGGGCGGCAAGTGTCGCGATGTCACCGCGGACAAACAGCAGCAGGCGCCAGCCACGGGGCAAACACGACTTGGCTCAAACTTTGGTCGGCGCTGCTGCTTGTTCCCCCGATCTGTTTTTCCCAAGTTTGGTCAATCTAGGGAGGCGACACTTCAATAAACACATTCTGTATGGGAGTTGATGGGAGAGATAAGGGAGACATCTCCAGATTCTGAACGTTCCAGGATGATATATAATGCCATCTATCGGAATAAATAAATATATATAAACGATTATCTGTCTTTTCTAATGTATCGTTTTCTTGATTCTGTTTTGAAGAGCTACAGTGCATGGCGACCACCTACAAGTCGGTATACCTATTCAATAGAACGCTCACCGACGCCAAGAATTGAAGTATGGGATGTTTTGGTGTTAGTGCATTTCTTGTTGGGTTTAAAGGTATCTTTCCTTCTTGTATTCAATCAAAGTGCCGAATCTGTGAATCTGTAACTTTTAATGGTGTCTGCTAGATGAGCTGATGTGGAGTTAGGGATTGGAAGTTGCATTTGGTGGATAGAGTAGAAAAACCTTGCATCAACTCTTCTGGGAGGTATTGCTTATTCCTTCTGCTTTGCACCAGTCGGGTATATCCATTCTTGTTGGCATTCGGCCTTGCTGGTACGGAAGAGGTTTCTTTCATCTAGTAGAGCGGGTAGATTATCTGGCCTCAGGGTGGCCAAGAGCTCCAGATTTGGCCAAAGAGTCTGCCAGCTCATTTCCAGGAATTCTAAAATGAGCTGGAAGCCAATGTACTGTGGCAGAGCTATTGACTGGGAGTCGGTTTATTGGTTTTGCAATGCTCTTGAGAAGAGGTTCTTGGCTGGAGTGTAGATAACTCCTCTTGATCAGAGTAGATGATTATTTTACCGGGTGATTTGATGTTTTAAGAGCGGTATATTTTGCTGAAAGTTCTGATTTGTGATGTTTGAGGGAGAAGTGAAAATTTTAAAGCATTTGACTATCGTAAGTAAGGCAATTCCAGTTTTAGCAGAGAGTTAGCTATCAGCAGTGTAAAGGGTGGCGTCAAAGAGGGAGCTGTTTTGTCAATGATTTGGAGGCAAAGAACTTTGAGTAATTATACAACACTATACTTGTAACTCAAGTTTGAGGGATTGATTGGAAGCCGAGGTATTCCGTGAGTTGATTGCCAGGTATATGTGAGGGAGAATTGGGAACATGTCGAGAGCAGTCTTTGATCTCGAATTTCGGACAACATTTCCTGCAAGGTGTTCTTTGGGAGAATCGATCTTTTTGAATATGGATTTTTTTCAGAGATCTAGTTGGAGAAGGTTGGACTCGTGTTCTTCAAAGTGATTTGGGCAAGACATGCGTGCCGGCTGATAGCAGCGCGGGCTTCTGTCAATTTTGTATGGATTGCTTATATTTTAATTCAGACTGGTGAGTTTGAGGGTAAATTTAGATAAGACGCTGTAGAGTTATCGTGGTAGATCTAAGGATTGATCCTTTAATACCTTCTGAGACATCATCGCCTACAGAGTTGGCCCGATTTCAATCAGGACCATATTATGGGACTAGAAACTAAAAAAGAACGCTATTCATGATAAAATTGTAAAAAAACGTTTAAAAAAATACAAAAATATTTTCTTTCTTCTTTTGTATTTTTTAAAAAAGAATGCATTGACTCGGCAACGTTTCTAGGTTCTGTTAAACCCCATTCTCCTTGCTCCCCGGACCTGTCCCTCATTGAACATGTGATCTAACCTTGATGTTACCTATAGTCTAGAGCTCCCCATTTAACGGTGTAAAGGAGACAGCCACGGTATATCGAAAATTCTACGGTAAATCCGTTATTTAAAAACACCCAAGGAAAGTATAAAACATAGCGCGCTCTAATAGGTCTCACGAAGCCTACAGTGTACAAGCAGCGGGAGATCACAATATGTACTACCTACAAAGTATTGGGAACATTAGGGAGTGTATGTGGTTGTCAGGGAAGTCACTCCTCGACGTGTGACATTCCTCGGCAAAACCTCAAAACAACATTCCAAAACGTGGCAATCTCTAAAGTGTGATCTGTCAATCAAAGTTATTAATTCCTTGTTTATCCCGGACATCCCACAAACAGGGGAGGAGGAAATTAAACAAACAGGGGACCTAATAAATCTCCACGCCGGGCAGATCCCGACTCCAGATAGCGCTCTCACTTTGTCCTTCCTCCGCGGCACGGTTGGAATGCCGCCGTGGGTCCTACACGGCATGATTGGGAGAACAGCCCAATGACAAAGAAGATATCAGACAGAAATTATAGAAAAATAATTTTTATAGATATTGAGTTCCTATAAATGAATATTACCATGAGACGGGCCGGAATAAATATCGCGAAGAAAGGTCCAACGTATGCTTGGGGAAGAATAAACAATTTTTACCGATGACAAACCAAAGAAGGTTTCAAGTTGTGCAATAAATTGATAGAGAGAGAACAATCCCTTGAAAAATATTTTGAAATTTTTCTTAAACACAGATCCAGATACGGCTTTCTTTGTGTAAATACAAAAGAAAGGCTGGCAAAGGAAGCTAAATTCTTGGTGAGATAAGAAACACCACGCTGCACTAGTAGGAGAAACTAAACCAACAGTCGAACTGTGGGAGAATTTGGCCCGTGTTCACTTTAAGCAGAGTAGTCTATTCTCGAAAGGTGACACAAGTTCTCTCGACTACACTGTAGACATGGTGTAGTGTACACAGATTTATTTTGTAGTGAATGTAAACTTATTTTGTTCTCACACAAATTCGGATGCCGAAGTGTAGTTTTCACTCACATACACTGAGGTAGAAGCGATGTCAAAATCTAACTAAAGAGCATAAAACCCAATATTTATAAGTAAACATCATATTTGCTAATTGTTGTAGTTGGACAATATCCCAATCATCTTTCTGGAGCGAACGGAGCCGAGTGCCATTCCTTCGTGCTGTGACCAAAGCTGGTCTGTTCCTTAGATCGGCCCTAGCAGTCTCGTAGCTTCCACATTGAAGCCTCATGAGCACTGAGCGGAATATTTTAAAACAAATCTCTCACATCGACGCCTAACCAAAATATATGATTTGTATTTCAAAATAACCAGCAACAATTAACGCCTATCACCTATTTGTCAAGATGCCTTCTTTTGCTTGTCTCTGGACTCTGAAAAAAGAAATACCAACGGCCAAAATATCTGCACCCTATGCCTGACTGGAATCAAGTTAACTGTACTAAACCAAGACACAGATTACTGTCGCCAATTTTCCGGGGCTCCTAATTTGATCCTAATATTATTTAAAATGGTAGAATTGTAAGTGAGAAGGCATATTAGAACATCCTTAGGTTGCGTCCTTTAGAATTCAGGACCTGTGGAACATAGATGTTTCCTAAGATATTAAAAATGAAAAATGACATTTGAAAACTATCCCGCATGTGTTTCTTTTCAACGAAAAATCAAAATTTATTTCAAGGAGAAATAACGATTATTTCTAATCTTTGGGATGAGGTATGAAAGGGTGAATTGTGAAGAGTAATGATAAACGGAAATTAAAAGTGTCCAAGGATGGGAATCGAACCCACAGTAATCCGCTTACCGGGCAGATGCCATGTCCACTAGGTAATTGACCATCAATTGCAGTTGTTGTTCAAGATTAAAGTCGACTTTTCCCAAATTGAAGCCGTTTCTTACAATTCCCGGAGAAGGTTCTTGTGGCAGGGAATCAGCTATGGGACAGCTCGACTGACGAGTTCTTTAGAGCTCTGAGCCCTCAACAACGCCTACTTCCCGTGGAAACCATCTACAACTCATAAAGAAAGAAGACCGTTACTATTCCATTTGCAAACTGAATTCTTCAAACCATTCTGGCTAACAAAAGCGGATGTTGAAAGAAAATTCATTGAATAAATGACCCGAAAGTCTCCTCTCCAGCTACCAAAGCCAGATGGAAGTCTTGAGCCAGTGTCAGGTAAGAACATTGAAATTTTTACCCCAATCATTGGCCCCTCTGATTCTTTTGTTGCCATTTCACATCTTCTTGCTCATGTATGGATAATTCTAAAGTTCTTCTTACCAGGCAACAAGACCATTCAGGAATTGCCAGTCTGTATTGACGGAATGCCAAAGTTGACGTGAGCTAGAGAGAAAAGAAGGAATCATGTTGTGACAGAAATTTTCCATAACATTCCCTGAAATTGTAGGTGAAGTGTTGTGAGGGCCGCAGTGTCGCCAGTCCCTAGACACAAATATTGACAGTCCGTCACCGCCACGCGACCTCCCCCTTCTATGTTGACTTCCTCCAACTCTTTCCCCCTCCCACCTGGGGGTAAATCAGGGTGTAAATACCCTTTGTTTTAACTGACAGCAAACCTTATGCAAATTTGAGCTGTGACCACATCCTTATTCTTAGGGGGGGGGGGGGGGGGGGGGGACTCGCCTTCTAATGAACTAATTTCCTGAAAGGGCGCGTAGAATGGACAAAACAGACACTGTTCTGCTGATTTACACATTCAATACACGTGTGTGTTTCAGCGCCTGAGATTTGCTCTTAATTTAGAATAACTTAGAAGAAGATGGGCGTTTTGACCAACGTGAAATAACCCTATATAAGTCCTATTGATTAATTGCATGCAGAAATAGAGGTGTATGTAAATATGGTAGTAAAACGTTCGATCCAATGTTCTCCGGCAGACCCCAGCTAACACTCGAAGCAATTTACATATCCGATGGGATCCTATGAAATTGATATTTCAAAGAGTTATATAAGAGCGCAGGGATTCAAAAAATTATTTTAAGCTGGCCTCTGACAGGCATTCCTTTTGAAAGAAAAAAATTGCCTAACAGTAAAGTAGCTTTTATTTTTATATAAAATAGAACAATCTACAAGGAACTTTCATTAAATTCCTGGGATTTTTGAGAATCAAATATAATACAAGATAAAATGAAAATTAAATAAATCATAATCCCCTTCCGCATCTAAACACCTATCCATAGCATTTTCTAAAGTCGTCTTTTTTCAAGCCTCTGAGGAACTTCAGCGATTTTTCTATTATGTCTTCTCGTGACTCGAATCGCTGATTTTTAAAAGAGAGACATTTTGATTTTACTGTTTAGAAAAAAAAATCATTTGGGGCAAAATCCAGTGGGACCTGAGGATGTATAGGAACTTTGTCCTTGGCCAAGAAATTCAAAACTGCAACAGCCATCTGAGGTCTGGCGCTGACGTGGTGTACAACCCAATCCTGATCGATAGGCCATGCTTTCGCGGTCCAAAGCCAATCCTGAGAAGCCCATTTTTCTGATCGTTTCCTACTTTTGGATTCCCGCAAAAATCGATATAGACATGCTGGTCTGCTCTTCAGGAACTAAATTATGGTAGACCAGTCCTTTATGATTTAAAAATTTTACAAACAGAACCTTGAATTTGGATTTTGAGAAGCGAGATTGCTTTGGTTCTTCTTTACAGCACCATTCTTTTGCTTGACGTCTAGTTTCCGGGCCATAACCATAATACCATGTCTCATACCCCGTGTTATTGATTTCTTGAACCATTCGTTATCATCTGCAACCATTTCAAGCATGGTCTCGCATGTTTCTCGGCGTTTCTGCCCGAGCGTGAGATGTCTAGGAAGACATTTGGAGAAGTTCTTCACCACTTGCAGATTGTCCTGGATAATGGAATGAACTAATCCCATCGAAAGACCCGTTATCCGCGAAAGTTCCGTGTTCCAATTTTCGGGATATTTTTCTGTATTTTCGTTTAGACTTATTATTTTTGCTTCTCTATAGGTCTTCAGACTTTTGAATCATCATGATTGAGCTCGTTCACATTTAAAGCGGCTATACCATCCGTAAACTGCCGTTTTTACTCAGCACGTCTCGCCTAATGCCGTTGGAAGCATCAACAAAGTTTCATTAACTGGAATCTCATTTTTTACACAGAAACGAATGCATATTCGTTGTTCAGAAATTTTAGGCATTAGAAAATAATAACACGTTGATAACAAGCAAAAATTATGAGAACGTAAGAATATTTCTTGGAAAAAATGTTTGTGGTTTTTAAAGCTTGATCACGAATTGTAGTCACGTGCTCCTTTTTTTTTACCCAAGGTCATATCGAAAAAAAAAGTTAATCCTTCCGGGAATTTAATGAAAATACCTTATACTATCAGAATAATATTTAAAAAAGTAAAAATGTTCTTCAGGCTCGCGTGTGGTCATCTGCCCCTCTGTGGACAGCAGAGTTCAGTGGTGCTGCTATGTGAACACGACTGCGATCTTCCAAATGTTGCAGGATGGGGAGAAGTCGTCTGAGATATTCGTCGAAACCGAATTTTTAAAATCTCTATTTAACTGAGAAGCGGAAGCTCTGCGAGTTGAGTAGAGTTGAGACATGCGACAACCACAATTGCGGCGGCTGGAGTTAAGTCCGGAAGTTGGGAATGAAGTCCTTGGCAGCCTTGCGAAGTCTTTCCAAGAAATGGCTTCCTTCTTTTCTTTTGTTGCGCTGCAAGGTCAGCTTCCAGGGTGACAGTGACACGGCACTGCTAGACTATCTGGGAGTCTTCCTAGAGACCTTCTGTACACTCTTCAAACTCACCAGCAAGCTGGCATGTACAGTGTTGGAGCTATGGGAGACTCCATGAGTTAGAGTTGTTGCACCAAGGGATAATCATTGGAAAAATGAAAACTCTTGAATGTCTCTGGTTGAGTTGAATGATTTACCGTTGTTGATAACTTCTTTTGTTTGGAAGTGGGTCCCGAGGACAGCATTCTTTCTGTTGGCCAGTAATAGTTAGGCTATTGTAATAGCAATACTATTGTAAAATAGGGTATTGTAATAGGTTTTTGGCCAGTTTGTCTCATTTGACGTTGACCATTTGCAATCAGTTGTGGACATAATTAAGATAAAACTTTTTACAGTTATCATTATACGTGTTTTTGTTGTTTTAACTGATATAAATAGCTCTTTGTCATTTCTTACAAACTTGTGAGGTAGCATTTCTTTGGTTGGCAATGAAATGGCATTTGACCGAGCCTCTGTGACATCGGTAGAAGGAGTTCAAAGATAATTGGAATGATTCAACAGTATTTAAAGAAAGCAATATTTGGTATATTTCTTGTGGTATTTTGCTGACGTATTAAAAATATGGCCAGTTTGTGAGGAGAGAATTCTGGTAGATCAAAGAACGTTGGTCTTCTGTGTTGTTTATCGATTCTGATGGATCTGCAGGTTTTACCAACATCTCGGCACTGCGCGAACATTGGACTTCAAAAGAGCTGGATTGGTAGCTGTTGTTGAAGAATTGGTTTGAATCCTAGTTCCATAAGGATGAGACTGCAATCTTCTCATTCTCACACAGGAATGGGGAACGTTGGTTTTACGTGAAGGATCAAAACTATGTCTCTTGATAAAGTTTTATCAATAATCTTTTAAGATTCCGTAGGGCGTTGTCCTTTTAGTTTTTGAAAACGGGTGAAAAGAGCAATGGGTTTGGATTTTTGGGTAAGAGTCTTGACGACTGTGATTTTAAGGCCAATTGGATTCTAGGAATCAGAATGTATGGAAATAAGAGGATTTTGAATATTTCTAATAGTAAACGGAGGTATCACAGGGGGGTTATAATTATAAGAATATCAAGACACACTTGGTTTCCACGGTGAATGTGATAGGTGGCTATTGTAGTTATTCCAGGAGTAACCAACCTCTCATCTTCTTGATGGTGCTCACAAACAATGGCGTCATCTGTGCCACCGCCACATCTCAACTCTTAAAAAAAAAAAAGAGAGAGGCGCGTCATTTATTTAATATAATAGTATATGTTAAAAACATATTAGGCATATCCTGACCGCTGAAATATCTCTCTATCAAATTTGCATATACCAGTATAATGAGATTTTTAAATATCGTTTAGCTTTCAAATGGTCACTATGCACGCCCCCCGCCAATGTAAATATTAGTTTCTATTAATAGTTGATATTTTTATTCTCTCATATTTTAAATGAGATCGTAGAAGGGCGACACACCTTTAGTCCTAATAAAAACAAACTTGGTGTAAAAATCATTTCCTGGCTGAGAGTGGGTTGAGAGATATAGAGGATTATAAATACATACAATGGCCGATGCGGTTCTTTCTCAACAAAAAGAAAGTTGTGATGCTATTGCTTCTCGTCAAAAAGAAACCTCTTGTTCCTGTGGATGTATAGTTTGGTTTATTGGAAAAATACTCTCGTTCTAATCCGACTTTGGAAGTTTCTAGAACACGGACAAGAAAGAATCCAATAAATATTCGAAGAAGCTGATGGATTGTAAAGAATGTTTTATTTGGACTTTTCGTCATAGAAAGAGAAAAGCTGACGGAATAAATGAAATTGACAATGAAAATGTTCTTGGATAATAATTACGAAGATGAAATGGACGAAGCTAAACATTTTCGATGAAGAGAGTTGGGGAGTAGTCGAATCAAATCATTGATGAAATAAGAAAAAAAAATCAATTAGCTAGGACATTGATAGAATAAATTCCGATAAGTGGTGTTTGGAAGGTGCGGTAGCCAGAAGAAAGGAAGAACAATCCAAGTAACTGGCTCGAATGATCGGCCATAGAGAAACAATGGAGAGCTGCCACACT